ACAGTACCCAAATAAATTTTTTTATTAACCCCATCAAGTTCAGTACTGCCGATCCATCAAGAATAGTATTTTTGCATTCAGTTAAGCAGTTTATGCAATTAGCCTTAGTAACCAACTTCGTTCTAAAATTTTGTATTCATTTATACAGGATATTCATGTATACAGTATTCATTTAGACAAGTTTGACTGTATTTATTTTTATTATTTATTTATTTTTTTACTGGGTTGAAGCATCGTTTATCTGGTGTTGGTTAAAAAATTCGATTATTTAGAAATTATTGTTATAATTAATTATTGATTTAATAAAGTTTTGTTAAATATAGTTGTAGCGAAGTTTAATTTTTTTTTTCGTATTCACTAATCAGTGTTTTTTAAAAACCATAACAATAATAAAATTGTGTACTTTCCAAACATTATGGCTATCTTAACTCTTCCCTCGACTGTTTTGATATGTTTTGCTTGTCGTAGCTTATCAGTCTCTGTTACAAAGAATAGAGACGCAGCAACAACTATTGACGAAAACAGATTAATTTTTGCATTTTGTATTACTATTTGTATCTTTTATAATTGATTATTTTGTTCAAGCAAAAATCTGTATACAAAGCTTCGTTATTAGATTCTAATAATAGTTTTATTAAATATATAGTATTTATTAAAGTTTGTATAATTTTAGGTTTAGACACAATTTTATTGGCTTTCTACCACGTGACCGCATTTGGCTTTAGATGACCCCCGAAAATAAGTAAAAAAGTTATTAATCATACAGGCATATAGAATCGGATTAAAGAAATTTTCGATAGGTGTTGTCGCTCAAAGTTTAGAAAGAACTTAGATAATTATCAAAACAGAAACTACGGCAAAATTTTTTACTAAACATTGAGCAAAGATATCTCGACGAACATAATTAAAATAAATTTTTTTTTATCGATTTAGATGGTTGTCGACATATCCTCTCTCAAAGTTAAAAAAATCTCATTCGACTTATTTAAATTTGTCCAATCAGAATGCGACGGTTCAATTAGAATCTCATTTTAGCGACAAAAATTTGTCGGGTACAGCATTTACTAATTTCCTCCCCAGTTTTGATTCTGGCCAATCATGGTGCAAGATCAGGTGTAACGTGACAGTCTAAGAAATCACCTTTTGTGCACTAACAAAAAAAAAATTTTAGCATAACGATAATTTCTGTCCACTAATCCTAACCCCTAACCCTAACTGAGATGTCACATTTTAAACAGAAGTGGCATGCAAATTGGTGCGAATAATCCCAACCAATCAAAACTGGGGGATTAGTAAAATCAGGGTACTATAGTTGTAAGTGTATCGATATCTATAGCCAATCAGAATTATTGATGATCACCTTATAAAACCAAATTTCATGGAAATCTTGAATTTATCAATCTGTTCGACAAACCACTATTAACAAAATGACATTAGAATTTTTGAATACGTCCGAGGCTATATTTCGTGTATTGAGGGATTCAAAAGTTTCATATTCCGAAAAGGTTATTGTTGCCACCCGTGTGTGGAATTCGACTGATATATGCTTTCTAAATAAAGTGGGTTTCTTGTCAGAATGGGTTTGTTCAACTTTGATTAAATCAACTGGATTTTCCGAAGTACGGTAATTAGAATTAAATAGTTTAACAATTTTTTAGTCGTAAATGTTTTATGATCGAATTACATATTAAAAACTTTTTTTTTTAAGGCTTGGTGAAACTCCATATTTGAATTTAAGTTATTGGAAATTGTTTAAAGAAGCGTTGGAAAAGACTAGTGATTCTTCTACACCGTCACCTTTATACAAATTACCTTTGATTCCTATATTTTTCAGTGTAGTTGACTATATATCATCATTGGAGTCAATAAGTACTCATAGTACTGATGATTTGATTGAGCATTTACTGGAAACTTTTGATGCCTGTTTTTACAAACTTACAACAGAAAAATCTACCATATTCAGACCGCCGATAGATCATTTAGTTACATTAGCTTTAAACGCTTGTAATCTCATCATGACCATAAATACTTCTTATGACAATTATGAGATGAGCGTTGAGTATAGCCAATCTAGAGTCATTTTTTTGCGATTTGAGCTATTTTCAAAAATCATTTCATTTTTAGAGTGCAGTCTGGTAAAAAGTTCAAATCCAAAAAAGGTAAATATAATATTGCTCTTGCTTAATTAATTATGAAGCATTAATAATTTATTTTCTATGAACAAGGCATACAACGTGCTTAACGGAAAAATGTTTAATAAACTTCTTCATGTTCGTTCCTTTGTATTTCATCTCAAATCATCAGGGCAACAAAAAGACTGTGACTATGTCATATTTAGTAAAATCATCAAGTCAATTGATAACATTTTTAGACTTGGACTTTTTCAACAAGATCATATAATAGAATATGCTACTCTACCTGAGTCAAATAAAGATGTATCTGATAAAAGAAATGATGGAAAAGGCTTAATTAATCATCATGATCAGTTATTTGATAAATGCCGTGAGATTATAAATTCTAACGATGATAAAAAGCGATATCAACTAAGTGGTACGTCTATGCGGTATTTAGTTTCACAAATCTAGTTATAGTTATTTCTTTAATAACATTGTCCCAAAATATTAGTTTTGGAAGTAATTCCTTATTGGTATGGATTCTTTGTCGAAGAACTACGAAAACACTTAGAATATATTCTTGGTGCTGCCCCGGGTGAATCAGTTAAAGCAGCCTTAGATAAAAGAAGAATATTAGAATTCAATTTTTTTTCTGAATTATGGACTTTGATTTCTGAAGCGTTGCCAAATTTAAAAGGTCCAAGCCACTTAAAGCTAGTGTTTTCGATCTACGTAGATTTATTGTCAAAAGTTTCTCAATATAATATATATCAAATTAAGAGTGACGAGATATCTTCGCAACAATTGGAATTTCTGCAAAAAGTTGCCGATTATTTAATTTCTAAGGCAACTAACTTACAAGGCAAGTTGCTTATAAAATGAGACCAGAATTTAATTTAATTATTATGTTTTGAGTAATATTCTAAAGTTTGCTGTATAGAAAATGAAATTAAAAACATTACTTTCCAAGGATTTGACCTCTTACTGAAATTAGAGCACAGAGTTATTCAATCACATGTTAAATCATTATGCAGTTTGATGCTTCAGGTATTCTTAAATATGGGTTTGTTGCTGCTAATTTAATGTTTCATTACTCATAAGTCATTATCTGCACTCAGCAACCATATACTGAATCTTCAAATTCATGTTTGACTCTGGGAAAAACTTTGTTGACCATATACTCTAAATCCCATGAAATGGGTTTCTATGTCAAAAGCTTTTGGTCTGCTCTTAATGATATACCAGATGCTATTATAATCTTGAAAAATCCATTGTTTTCTAGAGAGCATTTGGATGAGTATGAATTATATCCATCCTTTATGTTTAACATTAATCCATGCATTATTTAACATTATCAATTTATCTTGCCAAGATTCGCGAATAAAATTACCAATTACATGACAATGACTCAAGCATGCGAACTCATTACTTT